CATAGCAGAAGCTATAGGAATTCGAGCCAACAAGCCGAGTCTTTGTGTTCAGAAGAAATTTGTAACACCCTTATCTCTCCCTTGGCCTTAATAAATGAATTTATTTATTACTTTCTTTTCAAACCTTCTCTTTGTTTATAAATTCTTCTTCACTCCTTCCTGATATTTTATTTTTATTTTTTCACGGTTCAATTATCTGAACACTTCTCATTAAGTCATCTTATAATAATTTTTATAAATGTTATCTCACTATCTATATTTTTCTAATCATTGACCTATTTCCGATTATGTTTCATTGATTTGAGCCTTTATTATTCTTATAAAAACTAATACACCTGTCATCACACTATCTATTTGTACTTTTCACATATTATGTAATCGTTTTATTCATCGTTATCATTGATTTATAAACTACCTTGATTGGTTTAATGATTTCGCATATGCATATAAATATTACTGTATATTAGAGTAAAGCCTGATGAGGATCTAATCGAAAACAATATTGTTCGCTTATATATGTTGTTCTAAATTTACATTATGGGAATATTTCAAATTACCATTTCTGATCAGTGTTCGCTTTAGTCAATTATGCTTAGTATAAACGGGCCATTTTTGAGCTACATCGCTTAAACGACTTTCAAATTCATAATTATTAATAATACAGATGTGCATTATGATATCTTTATGGCAATGGGTTCTGCTATATTCCTCACATGAAATAAGGTAGAGAAATAAAATCTGACTACCACCGCGCCTGCTCACAACACTAACAAGCTTTAAAGAGTGAACCTTAAAGGTACGAACACTCAACATGCTCAAAACACCTCAATCTGACCAGGAAGGCGTTTGAACTGTAGTTATGTTCTCCGACTGTAGTAAATTCTTCATTAGTGACAAACTTATAGAAACACTAGATATACTCGATATCCCCAGTAACTCAACACCAGACACTGTAGTGTTGGATGGCATCCTCAATCTGATGTTGACACGCGATGTGCTACGCGTAATCCTCACAGTTCATACAATACAAGATTGGACGAGAAATCATATTTGGCTATTGAACATAATACACAAATACTCACTGATATACACACCTCTCTAGTCCATAGAAAATTAATCCATTTCTTAGCCAATAATCTGCACTTGTCCTTCGAGTCACTTCTGATGGCCATCGATTGATACACTAATTTAACTAGTTCCGATTGACTTACCATATCAGACACTGCTACCTCAAGCTCTTAAAAAAACTACTGCTCAAACCAACAGAAACCCAGGGCCGAGCAACGAGAATTAGAAACGAGCTACTTTATATCGAAAAACATCGGACTCCAGGGCGAAACACAACCCCTTCTTGAATGTGTTAAAAGTCAGTATTAAGATTATTAGCAGGCAGAAGGATAAAAAGAGCTTACTAAAAAATTTAAATCCCAGGGTCTCTGACGTCTGCTAGAAAAGCGCTTAGAAAACAGTTAACACACCACAATACATTCCGCACAGCATGGTAGAATGTTAAACAATAACCAAGAATTCACCTATGAATGGCAAGAATATTCCAAAGACAATCAACTTTGGCTTCGTTATTATTTACTTCACGTTCAAAACTTTAGGTGTGATAGATTTTATTACCGACGTTTCTCCAGTACATGACCAAAAGTAAGTGATGGTCACATTAGATTTTGATATCAAGAAAGCTGATAACGTATTCGTCAACTAAATTCCTTCAATACAGTCATGAAAAATTCATGCAAACTACCTGGATGCCATTTTACTGTTATATCTGGCATGCAGTGCGACAACTGCAAAAGTCCTTTCCACGAGGCGTGCACAGATCTCACAGCAACTGCTTACAACAGGCTCAGCAAGTCGGATCACAAGTGAGTATGTGTTACGTGCAGCACGGATGCTGTAGGTTTGTTGAGTAACATCATTGCCCTATTGACAGGTCTGCGGAATAAGTTGTCAGCGAACTTGGAAAAAGTCAGTCATAAGACAGGTAGACAAACAAGGGCACGTAACGAAAACAAGCATAGGGATGTCGATAGATCTACCATCGATGGAGCACGCATTAGCACTAATGATGACATGTTGAAACTCAGCACCATCATTACGTCGACGGTATTAGACTCCCTCAGTAAACTCGGGTCTCCCAGCTCAGGATCCTTAAATGCAACAGTGGTTCCCAAAAGCTCTGCAGGTGATTGGACCCACGTTAACAGAGCCAAAAAGGACCAGGCGTCACCGTCTAAGCTGAACATCTTAAATGTTTTACGGAAATCAACAAAAATGAAACGATGCTCTGAGGTGAATTGAATGAAATGCTTGAACTTCCTAGAGTACAGCCTACGACGGTCACACGGTTCACTCGGGGAAAGGAATCTAAGCATGAAAATCACCCAAGTCTACTTTGTGCAACACTTAAGAATGCTATCGACGTAGAGGATGTCCTGTTAGCTAGTCATTTACTGAAATCCGATGGGAATGTAAGAATAATGCCCGACAAACCGTATTTTGAGCGCAATCTCATCCGGAACATCCCTAAAGAATCTCGCGAGTAGTTCTTCTGCGGAAGAAATATAATTGTGCAAGGTGTACCAGAAGACACGGACCCTAGTCAAGCAAACTCTGATATTAGGGAGTGGAAATTCATCAAACAGTCCTTGAGGCTCAAAAACATACTGACCCAACATGTGATGAGACTAGCCAAGAAGGACGGTGATTTTAGACCCCGGATAATGAGGATAACTTTCTCATCCTCCCATATGGCGGCTGCAACTCTGGAAGCACTTCGTGCTAACAGACGTTGGTTTCCAACTGGGATCCATATGCACTCGGACAGGCCACGTGATGCCAGGATCAAGCACAAAGGCATGTTGAAGCTGATCATTCCACTTGCGGAATGTCTTGACGACAAAACAACCTGTGAAGGATAGGGCCTACCAATGCGGAAAACCTTATATAGGTAGGCTACTTGTCCATCCACGTAAGGCTCATACAGACAAACAGGAAGCTCATTCGTTTCAAATTGAAAGTATAAACTGCTTATACATGAACGCCGACAGTCTACCAAACAAAATGGATGAGCTACGTGAACTTAACAATGCTAATAAGGTTCATCTGATGGGAATATATGAAACGTTTATATCTTATCAGTTTTTGGACCAGGAGCTAGCATTACCTGGGATGTCTCTGTTTCGTAATGACAGAAAAACAGGAATTGGGGATGGAGTAGCCCTATACATATGACCTGGCTTGGAGGTACACCAAGTTCACAACGATGAGTTTGACAATCTTGGGTAATCTATATGGTGCTCTGTGAGATTGTCCGCTACTTCGAGGTGCCTAGGCGGAGTCATATATAGGAAGCACACTGCCGACATCGAGTATGACATTCGTATTCTGGAAGGACTATCCCGCTCTACGCATCTCGGTTTCACTCAAATTGATCATGCCTGTAAACTGGCGTGAATTCTGTTATTATCATTTTTTTCAGAATATAAATTATTATTATTATTAAATCCTGATTCTAGGTGAATTCAATCTCCCTGGAGTCAACTTCGCGGAACATACGTTTATTGGAGGTGAAAATTCAATTGAAACTCGGCTCTTCAACTTCATTGAGGATCTGGGATTATACGAAAATGTGAAATCGGCAACTCGTTGGAGGAACAGTCAGGCACCGTCACGCATAGACTGTGTATTTACAAACGAAGAATTCGTAGTTGAAAACCTCTCAATTTTGGCTCTTCTGGGTAAAAGTGATCATGCTGTTATAGCCTTCAGTTTCGTCAGCAACAACAGGCGCTGGAACTTCAAACGGTTGAATGTGTCTGCTCTACGGGACTATCTGCAACAGGTGGATGCTCCAAAAGGATGAGGACACTCTAGAGCGTATCCAATGACGAGCCACGAACTCAGCTCGAGGACTCAAATTTAAACCTTACGATGAGCGCCTTCAATCACTCGACCTTTAATCATTAGAGCATAGGCGTCTTAGATGTGACCATCTAGTGGCTCACAGTATCCTTAACACTTCCGGATATCCTCTTAAACACCTACTTAAGCGTAGTTCCAATACTAACCTGAGGGGTAAAACCCAGAAATTGGAGATATAACATAGTAGAATGGACTGTAGGCACGACTCCTACTCTTTAAGAGCTGCCGGCTGGGCTAGTGCAAGCGACTTCGCAGGAGTCCTTTAAATGGCGACTTGATCTATTCTTAAGGACTAAGGATAGTATCTTACTATGATTTACCAATTTCTTTTTTCTCTTTTATCGTCAATATACCTAGGTTCCTGCCTGGAGGTATTGGTGATCCCCTGCTACTAGACACGGAAGCCTGTTAAGCGAAAGTTTCTTCTATTCGGTCCACAACCAGTTGAACCATTTGAATACAAATCAATACACAGGAGTGAAAAGTAGTGAAAGTATTAAAAGAATTACAAACGAACTAAGTTTTCGTTGAGAACCCTGACATTTTGCCAGAAATGGTAACAAAAATTCCTCTTTTAATGATTCTGTTTTCTACATGACATCACCCTTTGTCTGCGTGATGTTCGCTTCTTTTTTGGTCCGTTAGCCTTTTAAGTGTTTGAAGGTACTGTTTATGTTGCTATCGATACCGTTTACGATTAACGTTATTTGTTGTAATCTATAACGCCAAATAACATAACACAAACACCTGATAACTAACACAGAAAGAAGACAAACTACAGAAAATCATAACTTCTAAAGTAGAATAGACAGTATAAATCGACAAAACAGCATATACGTAGTAGCAAAACATGACTCAAGCATACAGAAATTTAGCAGTGCTGGAAATTAACCTACATTCTTTTAACCACCAGCTCAGTCAAAAGGCTAAACTGATGATACGAGGAGTAGCTCACTTCCTGTAAATGTTCTTTAACATTAGGGAGGGTTGACATGATGAACAACTGTTCAATATAAACCCTTCATTGGGATATTGATAACTATTGTATTTTCCGTAGCTTTGCTGGCGGTTATTCGATTGGGCGTCTTTCGTATCGAGGATGACGATATTATGATGAACTCAGTGCACGGAATACTTCTGAGCTAGATGCAAGTTGCTACATGCCAAGTGTTTTTCGAAAAGCTTTTTAACTGTCAGTACGAGCCGTACTCTACTATAAAATCACAATGAATTCCAACAAGGAATTTTCGAATAACTTCGGAACTTATATCTCTAAAGTTAAGAAGGATATTTTACAAATCGTTAATAAAAAGAATTCTGTGGGTAGTGTCTCGAGGAACGATTGTCGTAATCTGAAGTCTCAGTTCACCGATGTGTCGGAAAATGTGGCTTACGATTATAACTACATGAGATCATACACTTACGACAATCTTAACAGTGAAATCTCCGCTGAAAAAAACAATAACTACATACATTCGGTTACAAATTCGGGCGTTTTGTCGGGGACGCCAAGTTGTGAAGAATGTAAGTTCAGTCTCATGCCTCACTTTGTCCCGAGCTCCTAATTTCGGGGAAAATTTGACCCATTTTGGGGAAATTTCGGGGAAGCCGCTATAGTAAACTTTAAGAAACTTTGTAGGTGTGATGCTATTTACCAAAAAATCCCTTTCAACCTTAGTGAGGGTCATTTGACTTTGAGGGTTTCCCCAAAATTCCCCTAAATTTCGGGTTTTTCCCGAAAATTTCCCCAAACTTTGGTGATGGTCTCACACAACTTAAGTTTTGTGTAAAATATGTAGATTTAATAAATCTCGGAGTGAGTTTTACTTTCAACAGTCCTTTTGTGCCGTATGGATGCACATGTACTTAAAACGGATATGTTTATGGTGCTTTCCACTCCACTTCTTGGTTTAAACCAAGATTGGTGGGCTGACTCACGAATGGTCCAATCTCCCAAGTTTAGTGAAACCCACAAAGTCAAATGACCTTCACTATGGTTAAGGGGAAATATTGGGGAATTTCTCCAGGTCTGGGGAGATTTTGGGGTTTTGGTGCCATTTCCCCAAAATTGGGAGCTCGGGGAGCTATATGGCGTTCAAACATGTTATTTCTATAAGTGTTATTAGGTTTAGTTTCCGTGTGCTCTTTAGTAAGGATGCACTGTACCCACCCTTCTAAAAATAACTATTGGTAACAAACTGTATTTCCCAGAACACCTCTATTGTCTTGAACATTTGATATTTTTCTTACGGAAACTCAAGAAGTCTTAATCATGTCCTTTATAGCATTAAATCAACTTCACTAGTTGAAGTGTGGTTCTCGGACTGAGTTTAAAGTGGTTCCTTGTTGACTATTTCTAAGACCTTAGACTTCCCTGATTACCGTCTTGAGTTTTTAGGACTTTTAGACGTACATTAAGATACTTTTTGAATATCTAACGTTGCAGCATGACTCTGATAGTAGTTTTTATACAAACTTATTTTGGACTTAATCTTGTACATAAAATGAGATCTTGTGAAGTGCTTATCATACACTAGTCAAACACCATCGTTAATTCGTTTGTGTGAGACTTTGATATCGTTCTGGTTAAAAGTATTGGTTTTTTAATTGGTTTTCAGTGCAAACAAATGTATGTTTCATACATTCTTTGGAACCCGGTTTACATATGCTTTAGATTGAACTAGAGATTTATTTAGAGGTAAACCATGAAACGAAATTGTAAAAATCTTAATAACAATTTGTTATTTGGGCTCTTTGGTTTGATCATGTTTTCATATATTTATATTACTTTAAAACTGTGTTTATTTGATATAAGATTTTCGCAAAGTTGTATTTTTCGTCGTACTTTATACTCATTCATCTAAATATAGGGCCTGTTTTAATACATAATAGTTCAAGATTGAAATAAATAGCGCTCATTGTCCGACTCCTCTGTAATAGGATCTGTAATGCTGTAAACAAAGTCTGGATATTACTTACATCGTGTTTGTTTTGTCAGCTTAACGATATATCAAGTCATACAAATTTTATTTAAGATAGATATATTTTAGACAGGCTAATGTTGAGCGCCAGACAAGTAAACAAAAGATGTGGCGATCCTATACAGTATCTGAATTTGGTGATACACTGACTAAAAGACTGATAAGGTGACTCAGTTCTTATAAGCTACGTAAAAAATACAGGACGTGGATAGATATACCATCATACAGATGTATGAGGCATGTTAAAGGTGAATGACAGGGCCAAATATATGGACAGAATAAATGGAAAGACAATGATGATTCATTTATCCGAAGGTAAAAATAAATCACCATGTGAAAAAGTGTCAATTACTAAATTTACACGATATTAAATTGGGAAAGGAATTTGTCATCACACAACCTTTACCTTATTGTAAAAAAATTGCTTCTGTTCTGAACGAATGGCCTAAAATTGACCATTATTTGAAGTTAAAGTTCAATAGAATTCAAATTTTTAAGTCAGTCAGCCGGAAAGTACAATCTTGCATATATGAATATCGACTCAAGTTGTGACATCACACTAGTACAGTGAGATGAAATTTTGAAGACAAGTCCCTGATTAGTAGAACCAATAACAGCGTCAGTGGTAGAAGAAAAGATTAGGAACAGGAAATGTAATACAAGGAGAAATAGTTTATTCTCAAAAGTAAAAAAGAAAAATTATAAAATGATTTTGAAACTTGGGTTTCAAGGGTTCATATAGAATGAATGCAACTTGAATGATGTTATGTTTGTATACAGAACATACATCATATACATTCGATTTGAGCACAGAAATGTTTATATTATTCCCTTTTTTCTAGGTTACTGCTTTACGTCAGTGATACGTTCTCGAATGCGCATTTACTTTGGTTTCTGGCTACGTTTAGCTACAGATTATAAATCTGCACGTATTTTGCGTGACCATAATCTTCTCAAATCATCTTTTCTTTCCTGGAAATACGGTATCCTTTTTACCATGTAAAGTAATTGCCATTGAAATAGTAATTCGTTTTTCTAGATATGATTTTCAGAAAATTGATAACGAGGTACAAATTTGTTTCATTTACTAAGATTTAAACAATTAAGCTGTATGCATAAAGTTAATTTAATACAAAACCTATCCTGACCAATTACAATATGTTGGGTGGCGATTGAAACGTACATTACTTTTAGTGGATTGTTCGATCGATGAAGTACTTGTTGGCCAATCTCATTCTTTATATTTAACTCATGCATGATGTCATCTTGTGGTTTATATTCTATTTCCTTTTTTAAAGTCATTGAAACTACCTGCGATAACTTTTAATCCTTGATACATTTTTATCTAAAGGGTGTATTTTGTCATGACGCTGACAGTTCATTCATTATGACATCTATGGTTCATATGAGCTAAGCTATCTTAACAGAATTAACTTTGTAAATCATTTAGAATTCGACTTACGAATCTCGCTAAAATTTGCAAACAAAAAGGCTACAGATCATCATAACTTTAATATAAAGGTAATTGTTTAAGTTCATTTTTGTCTTCCTAATAAGACGTGTGGACGTTTACTCAATATTGACGTTTTATTTTTCAGTCGCGCACACTTTTTATTTGGGTATCTTACGTACAAAAAAGACGGAGAAAAAGCAAGTCAAAAAGTATAGCAAATGCTAACTATCGTCTTCAGGTGAGTAAACAACGTTATTTTCGGTACTGTGATAAAACTAGTAAAAAGTTAAGCTTGTCGAATCGTATGGTTATTAATTAGAGTCCAAGCATCAATTACCGGGATAGATATATTAATATCGTGAGTTTTATTCCGGTCATTTGCATAACTGAGTAGTTGGATCTACATTCGTGACGATGACCATTACCTTTTTGGAGACAGTTACAAACGCACTTTGTCATATTGATTGTATGGCATTTGTCTTCTAGGACATGAATTTATGGTTTGTCTAGTTCTTAGAATAATTAGTTTGCTTTTTGATTGAATGTCTTTTTATACGATTACCAAATAATTTATAATTCCACTTTTAATAAATCAAGGCATTGCAAAGCCATATGACATGTTGGAAAATGAAGTATTTTCTAACTGGAAAATCTGCTGTTGAAAAATCCCTTTTTTCTGCAGCAAGAGCTCACGATCGTTGGCATACTTTACGTAAAGCTTTATTTGTTTGGATGTTAAGACATCAGTTTTGGCAACAAAAAAGAATATTACGTAAAACCGCACTAAAGTTTCTTCACAATAAATTGAACAAAGCTATCATGATATCAGTGATTCAAGAATGGTATCACCAAATTTTAGATATTCAAATTTCAAATAAACATAATAGGTAAGCTGAGTTATAAAATATTTTATCAGTGTTATTTATATGAAAATGTGTTGCTCTGTGGTACATACATTTCAATCTCTACAGTATCAAACTTATTCGTAACCATCGTTCGTCGTGACAGTACTTCTCGTGTATTTATTTTCTTGTTATTTGGGTTTAAAATTCAGCTTTTTATTGTTTTTTTTATGGCTCAGATGCAATAATGGGATATCTGAGAACGTTTAAGTGATTTAATGATACGAATTTGTGCACAGATTAGTCATAACTACTATTTAAGGTCTATCTGCCATAAGTTAATCTAGTCGCCTGTCTACTGTTTTAATAAATAGTTTAAGAAGTAGTCAAAGCTTCAGAAATCTTCACTTTTTTAACATCGATTTACTTCTTAATTAAACTGTAAATACTTTGATAGTATGTTTATTAAAAGGTGTTATATAACTCATAAAAGTATTCTAAACCCCAATGTCCCTAAGGACTAATAATGTATGTACTGCTAAACATACGAAGTGTAGAAAACCTTTATTGTTTAATTTCAACTGCACATCCGCGATCCCACACTCGGGACTCAAATCCAAGACCTTCTGTTTCGTGCAAACACTTAACCTCTGGACCACTGAGTCGGGATCGATTTATATCAATGTTTAACTTCAACCAACCATGAGGGGTGTGATTCAGTTGGCCACTGAAGACAGTGGAGGATGGTTGCGCACTATCGTGGATTAGTTGAAGTTGGAAGTTAACACTGGCGTAACTCGTCTCCACAACCCTTTACTGATATTTCATTCTTTTAACAGACAGAGCGGAGCATAAACATCTATATTTCTTTGAATGAAGTCAAGAAAACAATATGGATTATTCCATAATACCCCCTCTAATGCTCTGGTACGGTCGAGAGTGAGAAGAGTCCGCTCTCCCCTTCAAAACGCTCTCACATGGCCACGCGTATACAGCCACTGACAGGAAAGTCCTACTCACTGCCTTCTTGTGTTCGGGGTGTCTTTTAGAAAATAGAGAAAAGGAAAAGCGAATATCCAGTGCTTTAACCGGGTAGGTGGACATGGAGGGTCCATCTAGGGGGTTAGAAAACCCTTATCCTGAACCAGTCGTGCACATGGGCTCCAAGATCCTGAGAGAACAAATGGAGTATTAACTAATTGTTGATCGCCGCCTACCATGAAACTGCATCTCCTAACGTTGCTCCGCTGCCTTGTGGATTAGACCTCTAGGTTAGAGGCTACGGATGTGGCCCCTTGATCAATTGCAGTCCTAAGCAACAATAGGAAAATACAAGCAAATAACACCAAGTGAATTTAAACTTCGCCCCATTGCACAAGAAGGTGACTATCAGGACTCATTAGCTAAGTGGATAATGCGATGGCGTTTGAAGCGCACTGTACTGGGTTTGAGTCCCGGAATGAACATCAACTCTGGGATGCAGGTACATCAAGCTGACGAGGCCCGAACAAGACGAAATGCGCGTCCTGGATTCCACTGCTAGCCACTATCCATCTTTGCTCATAATTGCAATTGGCCAAAAAAATAAAGGGAAAGCTAAGTAGTTAATTTAATCCACATTCGATACCTCTCCTTATCTTAATTATTTTAAATCTTGAAATATAGGTAGAATCAACTAAATTTACTTATCCATCAAATGAATACAATGAACACCTGTAATTTTTATGTTCAATAAGTTATAAACATTCAATAAATAGGAAATCAGTCAACATGATGTACTCATTTGATGACATCAAATTTATATTCCAGTTACGCATGGCACTAATTGTTGCTCTGAAGGATTGTAGTTCGACTTTATACAAGATATAATAATTCATCCTTCTGGAGAGTATAGAGCTTAAACTAAAAATCTGTTTGATGTTCCCTGGTTTTTGGCGTATCTTCAGTTGATGAAGTCTGTGATAAAGTTGTCCTGAACAATGTTTTCAATGTGGGAAATTAAGTAGCATACACTTTGATTTAGATTTTTCCACTCTATCGAGTTGAATGTTTGAGTTATTACGAAACAAATAAATACAAATCGTAATCATCTGATCTTGATTCTCCTTTCCTGTAGGTATAGAATTTTGAAGACGTTCCTAAAAACGTGGTCATATCGAAGCAAAGTATCTATTATAGAACGTCAAATGTATTTTTCTGCTTATAATTTATATTCTATTTTAGTACGTCGTCGGTGCTTTTTGTTATGGAGAAATTATGCATTATATAAGAGAAAAAAACACAAACAAATGAAATTTGCCATCCGATTTTATAAAATAAATCAAATAAAAAAGTACTTTGTTGCTTGGATGAATTATCACTTTGTGGCTGTTGAACATCGCAGTAGCGTTCAATCCATGACTGTAAGTTTTATGAACTATGGTGAATTAGCTGTTTCTTCAGCCTTATTATTGACAGTTTACTGTATTGTAGCCTTGCTAAACTTCTGATAGTTTGTTAACTAAAATTCTGTTGTTATATTACTTGAAGTTATCAGATCTCTGATATCAATGCTCGGTGATCAATCATCATAAATATATCAGTTATACGCGTCACAGCGGGACCAATATTAAAAAAACTGAAAATTTGAGCTTTTAGCTAACTGCATCCAAACACCTAACATCTCGAGCATTATATTAAAACTTGCTAATATCTGGTGATGTTGTGATCATAAGCCAATTCCAGGTGATTCGTATTCTACAGAAATGAATCCTTGGAGATTTAACTTTCATTTTGAGTTATGCTCTAAGATTTTATGCAAAACTAGTAGCATTCTGATAGAACTGCTTGGATGATTACTATTTCTATTAGTTATTTAGTAAATTATACTTTAATTGTAATAAGGACATTAATACTAAAAATAATAATCTCTTTCTTTATCTCAAGATGAAACATAATACATCATTAATCAAACAGTGTCTACTGAAATGGAAAGATTATTGTACAATCAAGCAATCATTATTATCGAAATCATCTCATTTTAAAAAGTGTCAGAAAAATAAACTACTCAAGGAATATTTTCAATATTGGTTGAGTAATCTTCTCTTTAAACAGTCACAAGAATTAACAATCCGGAGTTTTAAAGAACAAAAATTTATGGAAAGCATAAAAAGGGTAGGTCAGTGTTTAAAGTGAACTTCAATACTTTTTCTATCTTCAAAAGGAATAGATAGAATTATAAAGATTTCGTACTTACTTAAATAATAACGCAATGAACATTGAAAATCGAATAAATATGTATGTACATAGTTTAGCTTGCGCTTGGTATGATACTATTTTATTTATTTATTTATTTTAACACATAGGTATTGGTACAAGGAGACACCAAATATATATGCGCCACACGAATCTCAATTGATTTGTGTGAGGGCTGTGATACCGCCTGGGTGCCCAAACCGAAGCAGGTGGTTTTCCTAGGGGGCCACACCCCGAGCCTTCAACCTGAACGTCTAACCCACAAGGCAGTGGGGCATCTTGAGGAGATGCAGTCCCATGGTAGCCGGTGACCAACGATTGGTTCATACGCCATTTGTTCCCTCAGACAGGATACTGGAGCCCATGTGCACCATTGATTTAGGATCCGGTTAAAGCGCCGGACATTCGCTTTTCGTCCTCTCATTTTCGTAAACAACACCCTCGCCACGAGAAGGCAGTGAGTAGGACTTCCCTGGCAGGGGCTATATACGCGTGGCCATGTGAGAGCATTTCGAGAGGGAGAGTGGACTCTCCCCATTCTCAGCCGTACCAGGGCATTTTGGGGTATACTTAATGGAAATAGCCGCAAACCACTCAATGTGTACATTAATTGTCAGCTTTCACTTAACACTTTATACTTAATAACCAATTGTAAAGTCCATTTTGCGGTACTATATATTTACTCCATTAAAAAAACTTTTTTCCAAGGTTTTGCTTTGTATTCCATGACATATTCACATTTTGTGTGGAAACACCATTGCAAATGTTTCTATTTCACAAGATGCGTACTTAAAAATGGACATGTTCATGCTATTTATAGCTTATAGTGCATCTTGACGTAAAACCCTGAGCTATTATTTTCAAATCTTCATCTTGATATTTAAAATTAAACTGGATATTGTTTAAATTTGTAATCACTCATCGTAAAATCTATACCTAATTGTCATATAAATACCGAAATATTCATTAGTTTATTATCATGCGATTACACTTCACATTCTTTGATTTCGGGCCAATCAAATTTGGTAATAGCTTTCATTTAGAAATATCTATACTAGCAGTCGTTTGACTTGTAAAGTTTTCCTATCCTTTTGAATTGTTCGACCAACGGCAATTTTAAAATGATATTGAAATTACTAAAATCCTCGATGTTTTTGTTCACGTAAAAATCTTTTTTTCTCTACCTAATATTCGTCAATTTATATACTTATCAAAGTCCCTTCAGTTGTATTTTCAAGCAGTCTTTACTAATAGATCATAGGAACTATACAGCTGTTTTTTTTTTAATAATAATAAGTCAGCCATTATTACTTACTTTCAGTAAGAAGATATTTGTTGGATGATGATAATGTCCTATCACAATAGATGTTCTGTAATTACTTGATAGTTGGGAAATATTCAAGTTTCATCATAAATAATCATGAGTTATCATTCTCTGGAAAATAAATTCAATGAAATACTTTTGATTTATGTACCCAATATGATATAACGGAAGCTAACAGGAATTTTTCGATGATCTGAGACACTAAATACTTATAACAACAGGATTCTACGACTTGTAGATTCGAAACACTAGAAATCGATCACTATTTGACCACATATACTCAGATGCGCAAGTCTGATCAAATATGAAGAACCAGCTCAGACTAGACGATAGCTCATTAACATAAATTACAATGAATCGACGCAGTGAAAATCCGAGTAGAAATTAACAGTTACGGAGTTTACAACATTTTATAGTCGTACATATTTAATGTAACTAGATGTGCTTATCTTCACTCATTAGCCAATTATGTCTTACTTTCACCAACACATCCCAATTTAAACGTAGATAATGTGTCTTAGTCCATATTCATACTTAACCTATCTTGTTCATCATAAGAATAAACAATGGACATCAAATCCACTGAATTTCATCATACTGGGTACACAAATAATCTGTTCTAGTTCATGAGTTGAAAATTCTATATCAACAATTTACGGTTCTAATAGAAGCTTAGGACTAAGGTATTACGAAAATAATAGAACTAAACTACTTAATTGACATGCAGTCTATATATATATATATATATATATATATATATATATATATATATATATATATATATATATATATATATATATATATATATAATCGTGGAAAAATAGCTTCGAAAGTTTTTACCTCAGAGTTAAAACTATTGATAAGAGGTTATCATTTAGTGAATTTAAACTTTACGAAATGTAAATTATACTTTATGTTACTGTTTAACATCAGGCTATTTATGAAAAAAATAATATAGATTTAATTATTTAGATAAACCAAAGTTTGATTTTTATGATTCCTTTGTTTAATAATCGAGTCTTAGAAATTTCGGCTATTAATTTTAAGCTCCCACATTGATATGTATAAGTGATTAGACTTAGCAGCTAAAATATAAGCTCAGGAGAATGTTTTCGCTAGATGTTAGATGAATCGAAACGTTCTAACACTGTTTCATTGATTGATGTTTGTGTTCGATTATATTCAAAGATACATTTCCTCTGTGTTGAATAACCCCATTTTTCCACAGTTATTTCTTGCATGGTTACAATGGACTTCTAGTCGTCGAGAATATCTTTTAAAAATTCAGCTTACTTTTAAAATAAGTTTAGAGAAGATGCGAATTGTTACTATACGAACTTGGTGGACACGTTGGAGATCTGTGTATAATTATTGTTCAAACGTTAAACTTGCATGCAGACTTTATAATAAACATATACTTGTTCAGTGTCTCAATTTCTGGTCTGCTTTTATTACTGTCGAGAAACATAAAATCAAATTAATTAAAACAGCTAATGACTTTCAAATTCGAACAATTCAGGTAGGCTAAATTACTTTTTAAAGAATTGAGGTGTTATTAAACAAATATTTGAGCTATCTATTTCCTAAATTTATCGTGGAAGATAATTATACTACGTCAGCGTAATTGATTCAGTCAGCCATAAGCGACATAGAACTTGATATGTATGTCCATCTATTGAAGTTGCCACATCATATCAGCTTAACGAGACTCAAGAGTATTAAATGAGTAACAGTATGAGTAGTAGTAGAAAAGACTAGGCGTGGAAAGCTATGATTCAAGGAGAAAATATGGGTTTGTGGAATACTGCTAAAAAAGATTGATTGCTTTTATCTTTCTATTGATTTCTTATTTTTGTATATTCTTCGGCCTGATCAATAACCTGTAATAAAAACAAGTAATTAGCAGAATAAAGGTTGCTTAGGTACTTGATCTCAATTATATATGGAGGTTTGGTAGCTCAGAAGTCATTTACTTTACAAACTGACATCATTTGGAGAAATGTTTGAATAAAATGGATGACCATACTTTAAGATGCAACAGTTGTTCAGTGTTCCCTAGTATAAACTAGGGAACCTCTTTAGAAGTTTAAATAATTGTATCGTATACTGCTGAAAGTTAATAAATTTGAATTATTTCGAACTTTTCATCTCTTATTATCATTATTTGATGCATGAAAACCATCTTTGTTATTTTCAGAAGCACTTCTTAAGCCAGTGGCATCTAAAACTAATTGAAAACAGTAAATTTCAAGCTTTGGAATCCATAGCTCTTGTGCGATGGTCTTTATGCTTACAAGCAAAAGTGTGGAAGGCTTGGCATTTATGGATTGGAAAACAAAAGCACAAAAGAAATAGACGAAAAACCGCTACCCAACGGTATTATGAGCACAAAACTGTCGATGCTCTAAGACTATGGATTACTGTAGCTTTAAATGAACGTCATGGAAGGCATATGAAGTACTGTTCAAAATTTTGGGTATGGTTTTAAAGGTTTTACTTATTTCGTTTTCATTCTAATCTTTATTATTGGAATGTATTCACTTTAGACCGAGCTCAATCTTTTCAATAGAATTGTAAATACTACGATTATTATATAATTCTCAATGGTATAATACTTCATAACTTGGTTTTTCCTGGGTGTTTCCTCTTCATATTAGCACTTGGTCCTAAAATAAACGCTTCAAAATTTCCGAACGTATACATACGGTTAATATAATGAGTAGTTAGTTATTTATTTCCAAATGTGAAAAATCACGATCTTTTGGATAACAGAATTCGAAAGTTTAAGATCTGCATGACATGTGGCGTGTTTATTCCATATTAGCTTCAGGGTTAGATACCACATTATTTCATTCCATTCTAACCTCATTTTATTGTTGTTGACACAGTTGTATGAATAAATACTCTTTGATTTACCTCTTTTTCTTCTATCTCCTTATTCTCTCTAGCCGTTTAAACCAACAATCAACATTTATTTTATATCTTTGATATTGTGATTATTTGTTATCATGGTCTTTCACAAATAGGTCGTGTAGATTTACATGTATTGTCAAATATTTGCATTTATCCATCTTTTTGAACTCCTCACTTACTTACACCTGTTACTCCTCGTGCAGGAGCATAGGCCACCCACCAGCATTCTTCTTCGGACTCTGTCCTGGGCAATCCTTTCCAGTTGCTACTCATTCTTTTGCTGTCTGCTTTCGAATCCTGACTCAGTGTGCCGATTGGTCTTCCTCTTTTCCGTTTCCCTTCAGGATTTCAAGTTAACGCTTGTCTCGTGATACAGTTTGATGATTTCTGCAATGAATTTCCTATCTACTTTCAGCGTCTTCTCTGCATTTTCTCTTCAGCTAAAAACTGGTTTGTTCTCTCCTACAGTAGGCTGTTGCTGATAGTATCTAGTCAAGGGATATTGAGTATCTTGTGTAAACAATTGTTGATAAATACTTATACCTTTTGGATGGTGGTTGTGGTAGTTCTCCAAATTTCAACTCCATATAGTAGAACTGTCTTGATTTTCGTATTGAAGATTCTGACTTTGATATTGGTTGATAGTTGTTTTGAGTTCCATATGCTTTGCAACTGTAGGAATACGGCCCTTGCTTTGCCAATCCTCGCCTTTACGTCTGCATCGGATCCTCCTTGATCATTGATGATGCTGTCCAGGTACGTGGAACGTTCCACCTCTTCCACAGTTTCTCCATCAAGCATGACTGAGTTGATGTTCTCTGTGTCGTATTTGAGGATGTTGCTTTATCCCTTGTGTATGTTGAGGCCTCCTGCTTCAGAAACTTCTGCTACACTGGTTATTTTGACCTGTATTTGCTGGTATGTATGGGATAGAAGAGCTAGGTCACCTGTGAAGTCCAAATCGTCTAGTTGTATCCAACCTGTCCATCATGTTCCGTGATTCCCGTCAGATGTAGAGGCTTTCATAATCCAGTCAACCACCAGAAGAAAGAGAAAGGGAAAGAGTAGGCAGCCTTGTCTTTCTCTGGTCCTCATTTGGAATGCGCATATCAACTGTCTTCCATGCACCACTTTGCAGTGTAGTCAGTCGTGTGAATTCCGTATGATGTTGACGAATTTCTCAGCTACTCCATAGTGTCGAAGAGGTTTCCATAATGTTGTCTTATCCCCACCGTTAAATGCTTCCTCATAATCAAGGAAGTTGATGTATAGTGATGATTTCCATTCAATTGATTGTTCAACGGTGATTCGTAGTGTCGTGATTTGGTCTGTTCAATACTAGTCTGTTGATTTCGACGTGGGATTCTATCGAAACCTTGATCCCGTTCAGAAATAATTTGTTGAGAACTTTCCTAGTGCTAACAATAGTGTGATACCTCTGTAGTTCTCACACTTACTGACATCTTTCTTTGGTATCTTTACGGGGTATCCTATTGAGAGATTTGTAGATGCTGATTCGATGTCCGATGGGTTTAGTGAGTCTGATCTATTCAAGAGTTCTTCAAAGTGTTGTACACACCTGTTACTCTGTTCTTAAACCTCATTTAGTTAGTTCGCCTTCTTTGTACTTGACTGGTCTCTATGCTTTACTATATTGCCCTGCTAGTCTCTTAGTTGTATCATAGTGGTTTCATATTTCCTTCTCTTGCAGCTCTTTCCGACGTCATTGCTAGTTCTTCCACGTGTTTCTGCTTAACGGCTTTAATGCTCCTCTTCACTTGCTTCCTTGAATCTGCGTGTTCAGCTTGTGTCCTGACTTTCTCTGTTCCTGCCCAGTTGTTTTTTATTGCTGTCTTCGGATTCTTCCTTTCTTGAATCTTGTCCAGGGTTCCCATAGAGACCCATTCCTTATGATGATAGATGTTGCGGTCCAGCACCTCCTAACACGTTCACATCAGTGCTTCTTCGATCCCTTTCCAGTTGTCCTCTATCGTAATTTCTTCTTCTTTGAGTAGAACTTGTAATGCTTGGAACCTGTTGTTGCGTTTTCTTGAATTCGTTGAGTTTGTCAGTACGTCGAAAGAAGGCTGTAGTGAACGTTTGTAATGCTGTTTGTTCAGTCGTCCAGTGCTTCTTTGTCTTCAGTTTCATCTTGACAACCACCAGGTATATGGTGTTCTAAAGCTACGTCAGCACCTCTCTTGGTTCTCACGTCTGCCATTGATCTCAATTTTCTACTGATGTAAATATAATCGATTTGGTTCTATTTAGTGTGATTTGGTGAGACTCATGTAGCTTTGTGTGGGGATATCGTGTTGTCTATAAACAAATTGGTGAATGTACATAGATTTGCAGATCTGTCATCGTTCTCGTTTCTTTCTTACAGTCAGTCCATGTCGTCCCATGATATCTTCATACCCGGTGTTGTCCATTCCAACTTTGGCGTTTAGATCTCGCATCAGGACTGTCAGGTCGTTTCCTGGGCACTTCGCTATGATCGATTGCAGCCTCTCATAGAACTGATCTTAATCATCATCATCGCTATGATTGGTGGGTGCATAACATTGGATAACATTCATTGTGATTCCCTCCTTTTTTGTTTTGAATGATGCCTTGATGATGCTGAATCCATGAGATTTTCATCCTATAAGTGCATGTCGTGCTTCTTTGAATAGTATCAGAGTAACTCCCTAGTGTATGGAACACTTTCCTCTTTGTGACAGGAGTACACTAGCATCTCTCTTGAACCTATCCTTTTCTGTCCAGCTTGAGTCCAATGGATTTCGCTTATTCCGAGTACTGCCAAGTTTTACCTCCTCATTTTCGTAGCTATTTGGTTGGTCTTCCCGGTTTCCCACATTGTCCCAACATTCCATATATTTATGTCAATTATTACTGTGATTGTTAGAAGTGGCATCGACCTTGCAACTTACGAAGAATATCGGCCTTCACTATGAGGCGTCATTATTCTTCCGAAAAAAAATCCTTCAAATTGTAGGGTGGAGTTTAGATGGTTTTATTTTTTTTCTGGTTAGCGTTGTTTTCTACGGCATGAGGTTACTGATCCGATGCCCAACCCTCCTCCTTTATGTGGGGAGTAACCCTAGTAGGGCTACAGCCGGTGTTGAACTCCTTCTTACCTTATAAAAAAATTCACTAGACAAATCAGATACGGTTAGATCAAAAAATATTATTTGATTATTAGAATATTTTATCTGACTGCTTTTACGTATGCTTTTACATTTGTAATTCTTCTTTTATTTCAGAACAATGACATTCGTGTTTTTAAATTGGTACTTAATACAGCAACCCGTTGGTACTGGTGGACTTTTTCTAGAGGAATTAGTCAAAATTTAAGCGAACTTGATGGGAATAGTATTTGGGATGTTATTTCTAAATTGACTAATGAAAATCACATATCCAGACTTTCAGAATGTGGCAATAACTTCAGAACAATACGAAATCAAGAACTAACACCTGCACGTTATCCCGATTTCATTCTCCCTGAACTAAATTCACTTGGGCTTACAAATGCTGTAAGTTAAAACGTTCTGTACACTACGCGTTTATTGCTTTTTCTATATGTTGACTATTGTGACGTTTTAGGTAGAATTAGAACAAACATCAGCTCATGTACCTCCATTAAATGAAACTTCTCACCATGGGACGTCCGATTGTCTAGATATTCATTCCTGTGGTTATTCATGTAAGTAATAGAATGCACGTTAGTTTACTTTTTCCATATTTTCTCGTTTAACAATCACTGTGTATACACGAAAATTTGTTGAATGTAAATAATCGCTTTGACAAATTGATCTTTTGAGACTTCCTCAAAGAGTAATTAAAAGTATCCGTTCGATAATTCTCTTTGTTGATTACTAACTTACGACTTTTAGCTTAAAAGGAATCAACAACAGCATTGGACGGTTCTCTTGTCACTACCAAACATGTTTCCTCGATAACTTACTGCAGCAAAGTTCACCCGCAGAAAATTTGCTTCATTCCAAGTCAAATCAAGTGTCCTTCAACTAATCATGTATGGTTTCCTAAATGTTTGACTGAAATCTGGTCAAAATAATAAAATAAATTGGATAAAAAATTTTAGAACTTAAGAGAATGACTTAATGTACAGATCTATTTTTTATCATACCTTTGTTTCTAAAGTATTTTCATCACCCTCTTTTTTTCCAAATTGGCTAGAATTCTCCACCGTTTTTTTACGAATGATCTTACTGCACAGTAGTACCATCAAGTAGTCTGTAAAAAAATAGTCCCACTTTTTGGTATTTCCAAATGTGTATCTAAGGTTTTTCAGCGTCCTCAATTTTCTAAATTATTTTTGTTGAATATTTTTAGTGCACTTATTTTACTATAGTATACTATTATAAACTGTAAATATTTATTGCGAAAAGTTCATTCCCCGTTAATCTTTTATGGCATATCAGTAATAGTAAAAATGATTATGCTCTCATAAGTCTATTTATTTTAACTCTACAATATATTCATCTGCTAACACTTACCGACTTATGTGAATTATCTAGTACACTAGTTTATAGATGAAATACAAATCACTATCATGTATTTCGCTAAACAAATAATTTTAGCGGTATAAATGTAGCAAAAATAATCATTTGATTAAAGGGAACGATTGATATTTAATATTAACAAGTTAAATATTTTAGTTTCTAAAGTAATAATCTTAATTCATTCATTAAGTCATGTAACTGCTCAATTAGGAATTCTATTTTAATTTATACAAAGTATTGTGTAATGATTATTCTGGATGATACTTTACTATATGATACTCTTTTATTCAGATAAGATATTTTAATCTATGAAATCACAATTATTTTATTCACTTACTATAATATTTTTATAAATGATATTCATATAACAAATTTACAGATTATGTTTGATCTTAAGTTATATCAATAATTATAGTCACAATATTAGGATATCAGCTGTGAAATCATCAATCAACAAATTTATATGTATCTATCCTTTCTATTTATTCATTAATTCAACTATTATATCAAAAATATTTGTAGAAATACATAAATCTAATAATTTAACTAACTCTCGAATTGTTATTTTTACAATAACTTTACTTAGATTATGTTTATTTAACAGAGCTAGTTTTTAGTAACGTTTAATTTTATCATGTAACTAAATTGATTTGAATGAAAGTTTAGAGATTTTTTTAGAGATATTCTCTTCTTGTTGATAGTAATTGATAAACTATGCAATAATCTCACCGAATTCATCAATTGAATTCAATTCTACTGATGTTCAGCATTTATTGTTCCAGTTTCTGATATAATCAAAATGAATTGTGAACAGATATATAGTATTATTATGCTATTATGGTTCATTTTTCTTTTCTACTGGTTGTGTACTGAATTCTTTTATTTTTTATAAAGAAAAACACTGAGTTATTTAAAATGTATCTTCCTTTACTCTGATTGTATAAGTTTGGGTAAACAGATATATAGATTTGATGTAACTTATTGTATGCTATAAGTTATTAGTATTACTGGCTAGAGGTGCTAGTAGATTTATTATTTATGGTAACCGGCTTTAATTTAAGCTCCAATATCTACTTCTTGACAAGTTATTCAGATGATACATCTAAAGTTAAATGGTATAGATTGTAATGCTCAATCTTTACCAGGTTTTGGTCTAACCTGAGGATACCTTACTTGTTGGGGGAGTGTAATGAACAGTAATTGAAAAAATCTGGAAGAGAAAAGAACAAGAGAAAATGTGGGCAGTTAACTCAGTAACCACATAGAGTGCACTTATATCTAAAGGTTCAACTGGTAATAAAAGTAATCAACAATAATTAGAAATAAAACAAAGGCTATTTGACAATCGAAAATAAAATTTGATAGCATAATGTTTCGGGTATTTTGTAGTGGATTATTTTTGAGATAATTCCTAAGGCTTTGTATATCACTCGTCCTGATAACCGTTACTAGATAACTCCCGACGGTGTATAAATTGAAGACAATACGAAGCTTCAACCACATTTCGTTACTGTACAGCGCAGATTAACAAGCCACAAGCATAAAAGGCGGATTCGAGCAGAAACGTAAGTGCGAGAGAGAAAGCAGGCAAGTAAACACACAGGCGAGTTAAGAGTCGAATCCAGTAATAAGATTCAAGCGTATATATGATTTACCGAGCTATTTAAGCAACTAACAATTAATCTAGAGAGAGGGGTATATGCGTAGGTTGTCATACGTATCAAGCAAACATGTTCATACAGACATGACAATGATAATATTACAAATACAGGCAAAAGGTCACTGTTCTAATGACACTGACCGTTAAATAAGTTGACTGAAGGGCTTGGCAAAATTAAACATAAACAGCCTTATATGTAGATGAGTAGCTATGTTAGCTCTCCCTGCAAACAATGATATAAAAAGATTATTGTGGTTGCAGAAAAATGTTAAACTGGATTGAATAACTATGATACACAGAAAATAATGAATTACTTAAAACTAAGATAAAGCGACTCTGTAGGCTAGTATTTTTTACGTATATCTGAGTTTCCGTAGTTCGGTGAGTCCAGGTAAAATGATGATCAAAGATCAAAAGGATATATATATATAATTATACCAGCTAAAACACTGAAGTCAGACATCGAAGTAACTACAAGCATGCTTCATTTTCTATTCAAGAAGATTTGGGAAGAGGAAAAAGTGCCGATGAACTGGAAGGAAGGACACCTCATCAAGATTCCAAAGAAAGGAGACCTGAGCAAGTGTGAAAATTACAGAGGCATTACACTACTGTCAATACCAGGAAAAGTATTTAACAGAGTGTTACTGAACAGCATGAAAGACACAGTAGACGCTCAAATTCGAGATCAACAAGCTGGATTCCGTAAGGACCGGTCGTGCACAGACCAATTTGCGACATTGCGGATCATCGTCGAACAATCAATTGAGTGGAACTCGTCACTGTACGTCAACTTCATTGATTAGGAGAAAGCATTTGACAGTGTAGATAGGAGAACCTTATGGAAACTTCTTCGACACTACTGAGTTCCTGAGAAGATTGTCAATATTATCCGGAACTCATAAGACGGACTACAGTGCATGGAGGACAGCTGACAGACGCATTCCAAGTAAGGACCGGAGTAAGACAAGGCTGCCTACTCTCTCCCTTCCTCTTTCTTCTGGTGGTCGACTGGATTATGAAAAGAGGAAGACCAAAGAACACATTACGTCGGGAAATAGAAGCGGATATGAAAGGGATGAATAAGAACTGGAAAGGATTGCCCAGGACAGGGTTGGATGGCGAATGCTGGTAAGCGGCCTATACTCCTTCAAGAGGAGTAACAGGCGAAAGTAAGTAAGTAATATATAATTCATATTCAAAACAGTGAGAGGAATTATTAATTCTTACTGTTGTAGCCACTTCACTTTTCGACTCGTTGTTATTGGGATCACTTCTCTTTTTTTATTTTCGTCGTCAATGATTGAGACACATGTTTTGGTGATGTGACGGTTTTCCCGGAACCTGTATTTGTTGATTGGTCGTCTATTTCACGAATGTTGATTATGTCCGTTTTCCGAGCTTTTTTCTACAGTAACCGTTTTGTCAGTCCTTGCAACCAGTTTAAGTGGACCATCATAATTCGCCTCAAAGGAGGCTGTATATTATCTCTTCTAATGGATACATGAATGGTATTATCTAGTTGCTTTGGTACATACTCATCGTTACTGTGGTCTGGGAAGCTTTATTTTTAAATCGTTCATGTGATTCTTAGACAATGTACGTAGTTGGCTACATCAGTCGGAACACTTAACTGAAGCGAAAAATTCTCCGGGTAAACATAGAGTAGTTCCAACCAACTCTGCTGGACAGTCTTACGAAATGTGTTCAAATGTTTGTTTAGACCTTTATTCCATTATTGTTCACTTGAACATTTGTCTTTGTTGCTTCTAACTTTTGCATTTTTATCTTAGTTCCCAACACACCAGATGTTCATGAAATTAACTTATATCTAAACTCTTTGGTGGAGCGGGTATCTTACTACAGAATGATAAAGTCTAAATATAAGTAAGTAGTATAATTTTCACAAACATTTCCAGACTGATTTATCAACGCCTTTATTTAGAGGGTCAGATGGAGAATAAAGCTAATTACAATAAAGGGGTGAGTTGATTTTAAGCAATATTTTAGTTACAGGAATCTGTTGATGTATCTTTCAAGTATCAACTGAAGATGGAGAAAGATACGTGTAACTTCCTCATCAAAGAACTACGGTCTTTCTTTGTCCAGTTATCTAGGTCTACATAATATAAAATGATTGGTTGTTAGTGACTTTTTAACTTTAATTCATTATCAATTGCTTTTTTGTACTGCTTTACTGGAATTTGTCGTTAATGACGCTTTCGTGTCTTTCAAGTCTAATAATAGTGTGAATCTTGGTTGGTAGTTATATTCACTTTGGTATGTTAATAAAATATTCGATGATGTGTCTTGATGCTTTTTTGATGAAGCGCGCACAGACCTTTATGTATATAATTATGACAGACCTAATTTTAAACTAGTTTTTGCTACTATTTTCATTTTTTCCCTAATTCTCATAATTGTTCGTTTACAATGATTGACTGCAGAATAGTTGTCTAAAAATGCATGACATTATATTTGCATTTTCGTTTTGAATTCTCAATATCATGACACTGATTGTATCTCACAAAAGCAGTGCTGCACATATTTGTCTCTTGTCCCCAATTACGTGTTGTTATGATAACAGAACTCTAATGTATTTACTGTCTTCGTTTATAGCCCACAGTGATGTTCTCATTTTATCATTCATGTGGATATACATCTCGAATTATAACAATTGTCGTCGGAATTAATAACTACTTATAATAATGGATTAGTAGACCAAAAGAAACTGAAACACACCAATTCCTGATAGTTTATGTAACATCCAGTATATTTTTCTTGTGTGTATAGATTATATTTTATTTTATTATTAATAATGACTTTATCCAATATTTTATCTTGGTACACATTATTGAATTCTCAGCACGGGGTATTTCAAAAAGAAGAGCAAAATATGGAAAACATTTGAATCTGTACAAGTTTTAAATTAGACACATGTTTAAGAATACAGGTCACTGACTAGGTTAACTCAAACAACCTGTTCACCACAGAGTATGTTCTCTAGAAAAGGTAATATAGAACTTTTATACGTTAGTTTGTGTGCATGGAATCTAATGCACTGACGTCTCGTTCTACCAGAAGATATACAAGATGAAAGATATGGATGAAGGAGATGGTCGTTATCTAATAGTATAACAACCATATTAATAATGACCTCAAAAGATTCACCACACACCCTGCTGACTGCCTTCAGCAGTTTCCGAAATATAGAGAAGAACTGACGAACTGTATGATAAGATGTTGAGTAATCTCGAAATCATGCAACTTCTCTATGTAGTCAGTCAGACGGAAAACGTACTTTGATAACAGTAAAACATGAGATAACCAAGTGAGATCAGAGGACAAAGGTAACACCAAGATAAATAACCCACGACACTGTGTCTATCAAGGAATCTCCAATGGTTCAAGCATTATGGGACACCAACATGGTGTTTAGGTGCTGTTCATGTCTCGGGCTAAAGTTAACAGTTTGACATTTAGACGGATTAAGTATGGGACCATTAACAACAGACCACTATTTATTATGAGACAAAAACATATCCATTTCAAGGGACTGTAAAAAGGTAGAAATCGGCATACATGCAATGAGATCGTCCACATATTTAATGAAAGTATTTTCTGTGGAAGACCATGCAGAAAAAAAGAGAAAAGAATGGGCAAAGGAACAGCTCCTTGTGACACTTCCATGAGACAGTAAAGACATTGAACACATTCCTCCGAACACAGTGTGTTGTTCTCTTCCAGAGAGGTAGGAACATAGCCAGTTGGTTATCCAGCTGTTAGCGTTGACGCTGATTAACTTGTTACCTAAAGGTTTTCTTGGGATAGAATCAAAAGTATAGTCCAGAAAAGCGCGTCGAACTTTCTTCTTACCCTTTTCCAAGCTGAACACTATATTATGACGCAGAGTATTAGCAGCGTCTAAGATGCTTCTTTTGCTTTTGTAAGCAAACTGATACGGATCAATGTGCTCTTTGATTGCAGGTTGAAGTGTGAGTATCAATAATTTCCCTATTGCTTTGGGGAAAGGTGAAGTTACTGCTGTGGTTATAAATTCCATATTTTTATTGCCAGATACTTTCTTACGTATGAGGATTATTTTTACCTTTCTTCACATTTTCGGTACGAGATTGGTTATAAAACAATTTTTTAAAGATACGAATGGATAGCACAGAGCATTATCATATTTTACAACGTTCTGAATATTGAGATGAATTAAATGACAGGAGACATTTTCGGACATCAGTTTCAGTGAAAGTAGGAACATAACTATTCTTCAAACCTGTAGATAAAGGGAGCATTACATTGAAGTGGTGAATAAATCCTCCAAATAAATAGCTCTGTAAGTTTTCAACATTGGATGTTGACCACATTAGTTCTGATGGACTCATCTAGCTGAAGGCGCTCGGTCATGCATCCGCACCAGATCACGTGTGGGAACGCCGTGCTGAACATCTACCGCAATCGCTAGCTAGATTAGATCAGACTATCCTCGATATATTGATAGCCTATCAAATATTTCTTCGAACCTCTTCGCTTCTGTCTTTTGATTTCACTTGAAGGGTACGATTCATATTAGAAGGTGTTACTGGTTGAAGCGTTGTCGAACTCTAAATACCTGTGGCATCTTTAAGCTACTTACGGCTTGTATAATTCAACAATGCTGATGTAGCTTCTCAGCTGTATGAGTAAACTTCTTTGGACATTTCATTTTCAAGAAAGGAAATTCTATGGAAAAAAATGTGTTGATGTGCATTTAATTGTTTGCAAACACGGAAAGTACATATTAAAATGACGTTTATTTTTAATACCGATTCATTTATAATAGCCGTATTGCGTTTTATGGGAAGAAGAAAGAAGCCAGTAGAAACCTTCTGTGGGCATAGTCTTTGATCCAAGGAAATTTGTGCAACTGTGGAATCAGCAGAGGATAAAGAATGAATTGTCAACGAGGTAGATTCAGTGGCATTTTAATCTGCCTTATCCAGCCACAGAGATTGAGTTTAAGAAAGAATGATTAAGTCTATACGCCGACTGATATTAATAATTAACAGAGAACAGACTGACCGACGAGACCTTAGGCAATTACTTGGTCGAATTTGAAATGGTATTAAACTATGACAGATATCCACGTACATTAATTTGAAACTCTGCATTAGCTCCCTAAACTACCAAATTTCCATAATAATCTAGTAACCCGGGAAATCAAAATGAATACCACTTCTTTCTTTTGGAAACGATTGTAGTGATATCTCATTCTTACTAGTCAAAATCTCTACAATTTTCTTTAGTTTTCCTAACTTATTGAGTGCCTAGACGAATAAACTAAACAACATATGTTAAAAAATTAATTTTTTGTTTGGTATTTTTATCAACAAGCCAGTTACTGTCATATCTATTCTTAATAAATGGTAATGTACAAATGTATGATTTTGCCCAGAAGGAAATTCCATTATGTCAGTTCACCATGAACTGATTAAGTCATGTTTCAGCATGATCCAATACGATGAATTTTTTTGACCGCTCACGAGGAAGGACAAAATGGATCTCATACCTCTGCTTGGGTATCAACAGATGCAAGGATTTCGAAAAGGTGTGGCATGAACTTTTAATGCTGAGATAAACCACACGATTTAGAAACCCCTGCGTCTCGATGACTTGATTCATTTCTGAAAGGATCAGTTACAGTAACTAGGGTAAGTTCACAAGCTCCTGAGACCTTTGACCTATTATCAAAAGCAGTGGCACATGTCCTCCAATCATGAAGATTTGTGATACTTGAAATACGAAAAGCCTTTCTTTTATGTTAGCGCCACAAACATATATAATGGGTCGAACTTACTTACTTCCGCCTGTTACTCTCTTCGAGGAGCATACGCCGCCCACCAGAACTCTCCATCCGACCCCCTGCTGAGCAATCCTTTCCAGCTCTTTCCAGTTGTCATCCATCCTTTTCATATTTGCGTCTATCTCTCAACGTTACGTATTCTTTAGCCTTCCTCTTTTCCGCTTCCTTTTGGGATTCCAGGCTAGGGCTTGCCTCATCATACAGTTTGATGATTCCCGTAATGTATCTCCCATCATTTTCCATCGTCTATATCTAATTTCCACTTCATCTGGAAGCTGATTTGTTCCCGCTAACGTTAGACTGTTGCTGTTGGTTTCCTGCCAGTGGATGTTAAGTATCTTGCGTAGGCAACTATTTATAAATACTTGTACCTCCTTGATGATGGTTGTGGTAGTTCTTCAAGTTTAAGCTCCGTACAGTAGACATGTCTTCAACGTAGGCAGGTCATATAACGTGAATACATTTCCACTGCTGATACACGACCAACCAACAATGAACCTTAACTTATGTTTCTGCAACTTATCTTTACGTGTAAGGCGGAGGAACCACCGACTCCACAGTGGTCCAAACTTTATTGTAAGTTATCTTACGTCATAACTTCTGGTTACATAATAATTCCCTAAGGGCTGATAAGATGTTGCTATTAATAAATAATACTGATTCTTCTGATTATTTTATGTTGATTCTGCTTGAACTTGGACAACAGGTGGGTGATCACACAAAATGGATGAGCAAGCGCCACGAATTCAGCTCCGATATGGATGGACAAATGCCAAGCGGTTCAAACTCCAGCTTCAATAGTATACACGGTTTGCTGAAATGCTACATAAAGTAGCGCCATGCAACTGGACGCGGTAACGATTCATCAACAGTATCATATTTCGAACTGCCAACTGAAACCGCCATTTAATCAATGTTCATATATGCCATGTAATGCACTTTCAAACACTCTCCATAAAGTGGTTATAACACCCATATCACGTTAAATGTTCTCCATTTGATTGTTTGACTGTGTTTATCTTTCTGTGTTTCTGTATATTTAAAATACTTTTACCCAGGATGAGTTTGCTGAATACTGAATTGTCCATTACTCACATGTGGTCCACATTTTTGTATAATTGAGATTATGCATTTTTTTACAGAAGTCGTCACTTAAACTGAGAATATAGACGACTTCAGCCAACTCGTTGTGCCATGCCTTTACAGCCAAGGCATTACAATACTGTGTTAGTTTCAGAATCGTTATTGACCATTTCAAACCAGTCTTGTTTTCTCAAAACACAGACTTCATAGCTGGCCATCATAGTCAGCGAAAAATGTAGTGTCGTGTTTTGTGTCTCGCCGATTACGAATATGGATATTCTGGATTTAATAAATTCATGAGAAAGTGGCAAGATATGACCAATATTGTATGAAGCAATTCCTGGAATTCCTGTTTCAAATGGAAAACGGCCTGTGACATCGAAGCTAATAAACGATGGTTTGTCTAAACCGTTTTGCGACATAGATGATGCTTAACGATTACAACATATGAAGAACAGGGCTTTTCAAGGGACTGAAATGATTTTGCAAATCGCGATATAACTTAGAATAACTTTCCGACATATGAAGATCATATTATTTCAATATAAGTCCAAAACGAGTTCGTCTCAGGTCAAGCAAATGCTATTATTACAAATACAACTGATAAAATACACTGAAAGTCTTTCTTTGTGTTGCTTTGATTGTGAAACTTGCGGAACGCAAACTGTTCGAAAAGATCGAGAGTACGAAATAGATCAAATAACGTCCAGCCTAAACTAAACATATATAGCTCCATATAGTCAGTGTACTGAGAAGAAGACGAATGACAAGACTTAGTGGGATCTAGCTCATTTATGTGAAGCAGAAGGCACTCAGTCACCTAACAAACTAAGTATAATAAGTGTTAAGGAACCAGAATAATGTCATTTTAGTTCATTTGTTATGTCCCTGAACAATGAT